ACTTTCAGTTAAGAGAACGCTAAATCAAATAAGAGAATTTTCTTCTGTTTTTATCTGATTTAGAAGTAAAGTGGCCTTGGGTGACCTAAATACAGTTCTAAGTGGAACAGTCTTGTCCACTAGAAGGCCCATCAGAGGACTGAGAGTCCAAGACAGTTCCTTGATAATTTGACTCGAGTTGACCCCTACACACACGATTCTGCCCAACCCAAAGATGAAAAATGTAGAAAGCTCACAGAACGACAACGTAAAAAGTGGATTTTAAACCGTCTGCGGTCGAGAGGAGCAGGATGTCGATGTCTGCAGGCAGCTGTCACTACATCAGAGGTATGTTAGCTGCTAACTTGTTTTAGACGTTATGTTTATAATGATTGTTTATTTAGTAGTGAGTATTAAGTTACTGGTAGTTTAATGTGGACCTCATCTGGACTTTAGGCTGCCCTAGTTCTGTGTCGTTAGGTGCTGGATGTTTGTTGACGTTAGCCGCTACTGTTAGCATGATCTTAACAAATAAAACAATATCAGAAAAAAACACTCATCCTGGCAAAAAACAAACGATAATCATCGTGGAGCTGTTTGGTACCGAGGTTGTGGATCCACCCGCTGAATAAAAAGTTCTACACCTCCAGTTGTTTACGTGCTTTCATCAGCTGTTCGGTATAGTTAGCATTCAGTTAGAGCCGCACCGTCTGCCCCAGCAGACCGGTAACGGACCGTAGAGTCCGCTCGGTGCTCGATCTTCTTCTCTTCCCTCTTATTATTGAAATAATGAATCACCTACTTCCTCATCAAAGTCCTCACTCTGTCTCCGACTGTTTTTCCTCCATCTCTGCCTTCGAGCTCCTCTCCTCTCTGCAAAGGTTCTGACTGCGGCTCGGTCCATCTGTCCGCAGCTGGAGCTCCTCCATGTTCATCACCTTTTTTTCCCTTTTTTTGGCATCAAAGTCTCTAAAAATAATTAACTGAACTTTACTGTAACTACAAAATATAGTTATCTGAAATTTATTAAATTTGTTATATTTGTATATCTCATTGCTGACTTCCGATTGCTGTCTCTCCATCGCAGCCGAACTTTATTCAACTTCCGCCTCTTTGTTATTTTTATCCTCCTGTAGATTTTTTGCCGCTTGTCCAATAATTTCAGGCATCAGTCAGAAAGGAGTTTGGGGGGTTTACTACACAGGATTTTATCCATTTTGTCACATAACTGGTGTATTTTCTTTTGAATTTAGCTCAGCCAAAGTGAAACAGGAAGTGGCATCAAAGGGAATTCTGGTCTTTATTTATTAAAACAATGTTATTTGAACTCTGACTCTTCTTCATCTCTCTGATAGTGACTGTAAACCATTTAAAGAAACATTAGACTCTTCTCTACAGTCTGTGTTGTTAACTATTGTAGCAACACTCTGTTTACATTCAGACATTCCCCTTTGACATCACCTCCTGTTACTGTACATGCAAATTTCTCAACAACTGTTCATCTCAGCGGTGTGAAATTTTAAAATGCAATATGTTATAATGTGTTCTTTCTAAAAAAAATAACTTATATTTATTTCCATTATTTGATGTCACTGGAACTTTAAGTCTGTGTAGTTTAGGCCACCTTCACACTGGATGGTGACCTCACAACGATGCAAACAATCAAGCAGAACGTGGTTGGATCTTTGGGGATGTAATAAAAACACTCTGCTGCTCATTAGAGCTTGAATGGTCAGAGATGATTTATTACTGTGATAACAGCACATCGAGGATGCAGCAAATCCATGATGGGAATCCTGTGTGGACAGTTACAAATAAATAAACACATTTTATGCCAGTTGTATATTTATAAATCATATCCTTTAACAGTATTCACACCAGTCTTTAATTTTTGATGCCTGAGGAACATTTTGGACTGCAGCAGCAGAATGACAATTACAATCAGTCTTATTTTTCTTTAGGTTGTTGTTCTGCAGGGATTGTCACAGCAAGAAAACTTACACAAAAGGGGTTGTCAAATGTTTTACATCAGACCCACAACTTCAGAGGCTCTGAAGCTACTGAAGCTCCCAGTCTTGATTTGGGAAAATGCAATCTGTGATCTAAGACCAGATTAAAACAGATAATGCTTATGGGGTGCCGTTTGTAAAGTTGCAGTCAAAAATTACCACCAATATTTTTGTTTTATTTTGCTTTTTATAAGATAAAAAGAACAGATTTATTTTTCAGAGTCAGTTTTTCACCATATGATCCATACATTTATAAATGTCATAGTTTATAAACTAAATATTTAACTTACAAATTAAACATTTAGTTGACAAGCTAAATATTTAACTAGTGACTTAAATATTTAGTTTTGAGCTAAATATTTAGCTTGCAACTGAAATATTTAGCTAGCTACCTAAATATTTAACTTGAATATCTAGCTAGCTACCTAAATATTTAGGTTGCAATTTAGTTAAATATTTAGCTAACTAAATAACTTGCTGTATAAATATTTAAGTTGCAACCTAAATATTTAGCTCAAAACTAAATATTTAAGTCACAAGTTAAATATTTAGCTTGTTAACTAAATATTTCATTTATAAGTTAAATAGTTTATAAACTATGACATTTATAAATGCATGAATCATATGGTGAAAAACTGACTTTGAAAAATATATCAATTC